TTGTAATACAGTGAGGCGTTGGGTCTAGTCACCTTTGGGATATTTCATGGAAAAGTACAATGTTATCAATATGGAAATCTGTCTCTTGCCCCCGTCTGAGAGAATATGCTGCCATCACATTCTGAAAATCACCTATAAGTAAAATAAAAATATTAAGTCTAGGGTTGTAAAAATATATTCAGGTATACTAAAATGTAACAACATTCGTCTCAGAAATACAACTCCATCTATGTTCTTTCCACAACATTCATTTAAAGCCAAACTCCTGCCTCATATTGTCAGACAGAGGCAAGAGCCATATTTCCCTCTTGATTATATTGTACTTTACCATGAAATATCCGCAAGGTAAAGCCACAAATGTTGAATCTGATCATTTCTATTACTGACTGGACCCAAGAACTCACTGTATTACAACAAAAATCTGCAACATTTATTTTAGCAGCACTCCATTTTATTATATTACATATAATTGGCCAACAGAATGTTGTGATGTCATGTGAAAACCTGCAATTATTGTGACAAACTATTTTGTTAATAGAGGTGCTGAACCTGACTTTTTTCTGTGTTAAAAGACCTACCATATTTTTCGGACTATAACTCATACTTTTTTTCATGGTTTGGGTGTTTCCTGTGACTTATACTCTGGTGGGACTTAATATATATTAAAATGTTCACAGTAAAGCGGTGAGAGGCTCTAGTCTTGTGTGTGAGTATCTGCTGCTCCTGTTCCTCCTGTACCACTGTTATTTCACTCTACTGCGCATGTCTCCTGCAGAAAGAGCCTCTGTTCTGTCTGTATCATGTCAGTCGATCACACCATTACTTCTGTACCACTGAACAATTTAAAATTTAAATAAACGTATAAAGACAAGAAGATTACAAGCTGCAAATAGTGAAATATTCAGCCAGTAATCGAGCAGCAGAAAGAAAGGTTGGAGTGAGTGAGAAACCGGGAGGATGCACCATGAAACTTTCCTGAAGTCATTGGATGGATGGACAAAGTTTGGCCTTCAGTGACACCGAAACCATCCTGTCGGGATTCAGAAAGGCCGGAATAATTCTAACTGGAACTGATGCTGAGTCTGACAACAGCGACACAGAAAAGGAAGTGGTGTTCCGTTTACCTCCGGAGGTCACAGAGTGGCTCAGAAATGACACACAGGATGAAGAATTCAAAAGAATTCAATTAGTGATTTGGAGTGAGATGGAGAGTTTGGTAAACTTGTTCTGTTCTGTTGTTTGACTTGAATTGTTATTACTATAACTTGCCTTTCTAAATGAAATGTCAGTTCTTGGTCTCTGATTTTATAAAATAAATTTCTCCCCAAAAGTGCAACTTATAGTTCAGTGTGATTTATAGTTCAAAAAGTACAGTACTTCACTGTAAACAGTTTGCAGTGGTCCAAACCATTCTCCTCTCTTTCCGAACATATTTCTAGCAACTAATTAGAAACAGAGTTGATAAGCATGTTAAGTCAGTGTAATGCTAACAAGAGCTAGCTTGCTAACAGCACACTTCCTGATTTGTGGATTAAAACACATTATAATTACATGCAGACAGCACACAGACGTTATCAGTTTGACCTTAAGATCTGCTTTAATCATAAATCTGTACTGGGACAAACCCTGTACTGTAAAAGTCAGTTTTACTTTACAGGCCCATTAAGCAGGTCTGTTTCAGTCTGACGAGCCCTGTACTTTCATTAGACATGTTTAAAGCCACATTACAGAATATTTCAGAACAGACCATCAACTACAAACTTTACTACAAATTGACAATGCTGTTTTCACAGCGGACTCTAATCGATCACTGTGGCACTGTCCTAAAACAAAACAGCCACAGGTAATATCTAGGGAGAGGCAAGCTCGTTCACAGTCAGGCGGCTATGGTCAGAGATTTATATCTTTTCAGGAGATGTCATAAAAATTCCCAGAGGGGTGTGGGGAGACAACTGGAGGCACTGCTCTGTCTGAAGTTACTGAAGTTAAACTTTCACCTTTTTAGTCAAATATCAAACACCTGCACCTGTTCTCAGTTCTTGCGCCCGTTCTTTTTGCTCTGTACCTCCTCCCACTGAGTGAAATCTTAAAAAAACATGGCATGGCATGTTGTGGCATTGCCCTGAAGTGAAACAATATTGGAGCATTGTAATGGATCGTCTGTCTTGTTTGTTTGATGTGCAGATCCCTCCATGCCCGTTGTTGTGCCTGTTTGGAATAAGAACTCAAGATTTGTCATCCCAAAAATTGGACCACATATTATCACTGGGTTTTTTATCAGCAAAACGTATTATTATGATGAACTGGAAGGAACGCAAACATAAGTGCTTCGAGATAGACAATTGGTACAAAGACTTTTTGGATTTAATTTCTATGGAGCAGGCGGCTCAGTCGTTGGACACAAAAAACAAACACCCTGTTGACCTGTGGACTGTGGCAAAACCCCATTTGGACAAAGCACAGTAAAATAAGAACATCATACTCTTGGACAATGTCAAAATAAAAATATATGTGTTTGTAAATGTTTGTGTCACTGCATTGAGAAACTCTGTACTACACACACCCTTCCTAACCCCCCCCCCCCTTCTTTTTAAAAAATGTATTATTATTATTATTATTATTATTATTATTATTATTTTATTTTTTTTATTACTTATTTATTTTATTTATTTATTTTTATTATAATTATTATTTTTGTATTCCTGTTTAGTTAAGTCTGTCTTGTTGTGGATGTGCTGGGTATCCAATCCCTTAAACTTGACAAATTATTAAAAAAAAAAAAAAAAAAAAAAAGGCATTCAATATCTCTTCTACACAGATTTCCCTGCCACTTAAAAAAACTTGCTTCTGACCCCCTGACCCCTTTTCTTAATGTCGAGAATTGGCTGGCCCACAACTTTATAAGTCTCAATGAGGGCAAAACTGAGGTCAATGTGGTTGGCAATGCCGACCCCCTCGCTGACCTGGGCTCACTGAAACAGCACATGAAACAGTCACCAACTGTGGCATCAATATGGACAACGATTTAAAATTTGACAAAGAAGTGAATGAGGTTAAATGTGACTTTTATCATCTGCTGCTTTTATGTAAAAGTAAACCATTTTTTTCTTTACATCATTTGAACAGGTCACACATGCTTTTACCTTCTCTTGTTTAGATGACTGTAATGCACTTTTCTCTGGCATTAGCCACAATGCCACAATGTCTCGCTTACAGTTGGTCCAAAATTCTGTTACGCATCTTTTAACTGTAAGCAAGAAACGTGAGCACATTACCCTAATTTTAGCGGCTTTGCACTGGCTTTTACTGGCTGGATTTTAAGATTTTTATTGTTTGTTTTTAAAGCTTTGAATGAACTGGCCCCACAGTACAACTCAGACCTCATCTACATTTACAGCCCCGTGAGCGCTCTAAAGTCCAAGTTCCAGCTCCAGCTCATGGGGCCTAAAACGAGACTTAACACCAGGGTGAACAGGGTCTCCTCTGTGGCTCTGGAACGCTCTGGAACTCTCTGCCCCTCCACGTCTGAACAACCCCCACAGTGGAGTTTAAGTCTCATCTTAAGACCCACTTTTATTCCCTGGCTTTTAACACCTCGAGTTGTGTGGTTCTCAGTGTCTTTTATTTATTTTACTTATTTACTGCTATTTTATGTTTTTGTGGTCTTGCTTTTATTTGATTTTACTGGTTTTATTGTTTTAGGCCTGGCAGGATCAAATTTTAGCAATTGCAGCACTTTGGAAATTGTTTTGTTTGTAAAAGGTTATATAGAAATGAAGTGGATTTGGACCAAAAAAGGACCATGAACACAGTCTTCTGAAAATATGTTGCTGACATCAATTTTGTATTTTTTCTTGAGTTTTTAGACCATCAAAAACATGTCAGATTGTGTTTTCCTTATGTGTGCATGGGGACATATCCCCATGGTAATTGTGGAGCTGAATGAAATGTTCCAAAGTAAATAAATTGCATCATGTCACCATGGTTACAGTCAAAGCGGATGAAATGTTCCGCAGCATAGCTTTTAAGGTGCATTGTGTAACTTTTCTGGTGGAGGGTCCATCAAATGATTTTTCCATGGATGTTATTCGTTTGGCTAGAACACAGGTGTCAAACATGCGGCCCAGGGGCCAGATCCGGCCCTCCAAGACCTTTAATCTGGCCCTCGGCTGATTTTCTACTAAAATATTTTAATTCTATTTTTTATAAAAATATTGTTAATTTTCTGTGGTGTTTATCACAGCAGCGTCCTCAGCGTCTCTGTACGTGGCCCCTCCCACCAGAGCAGCACAAATGAAGACTTGTCTCTTTCCAAATGCTCTTAAAGGACGATCGTTTTGACTGTTGACCGTGACACCCTCATCAGAAAAAGTGCAGGATTTTACAACAAAAATTTACTTATTCCTATTTCTACAAGTTAATTTTAAACAAGTTCATGTTAAAACTTTGTGTTGAAATTACATTTTTCTTAAAGTTTCAGGTTGTTCATAATATTATAATACTTTGTAAAAGAAAGAGTTCATCAATTAAAAAAAGATTTCTGTAGTAGATTTGTGTTTCTCTGCACAAATATTTGAACTTATTGTTGTTTTTAAGGTATATATGACGTGAGTTTTCTGATGCGGCCCCTTTGGGATCAAAGTAGGTTGGATACGGCCCCCAGACCAAAATGACTTTGACACCCCTGGGCTAGAATGTTTCACAGTATGGCATTAAACCTTTTTTTTTATCATCATGGAGACCAGTCCAGGCCAAGTTACAGGTCAGATCTGTGAAGTGGAGACTCCTCTCACATTCAGAATGTCTGATTTCTGTAGTAATTTTTGAGCTATAAAACCACCTGAAATTGAATAAATGCAAGGTAGAGCTCTTAAATGTCGTACTGTGGAACATTCCAGACAGAGCAATGAGGTACTGTATCCATAGAAACAAGCAGGTGACGGACCAGCAACCAAAAACGTACACAGTGCACCTTTAAACAGAACCATCTCCACACTCACCTGAACAGCGTGTCATTGGAGACAGTTGGTTTGACGGGGCTGTGGCAGTCGCTGTGTCCTTCTGGAATGTACCCTCTCTGCTTCCTGAAACTCTGCACCCCCTTCACCACGATGGCCACTCCGTCTCTCACCCTCTTCCTCAAACTCATCCTCCAGCGATCCGTGATGATACTGATGAGCCCGATGGGAAAACTCTCCGGTGGGGGTATGTCCGGGTTCCCCACCGCTAAACTGGGAATGATCCAAATGTAGCCAGGCCCCACCAGACCCGCCTCTTTGGCCATGGCAAACAGATACTGGGCCTCTTCGTGGGAGCAGTACACGAGCAGCACCTGGGCGTCGATCTGCTGAAGTAAACGGCGAGCTCTGATGTCACTCAGACCATCGGCGGACATGTCAAAGGTCAGCACGTCCTGGAGCTCCCACAGAAAGTAGCTGGTGTCAGTGAAGGACTTGATGTAATCCACAAAAGTCTCATATCCGGGGTAGAGGCTGGTGATGACCACGAAGCTGTCCCAGTTGTACTCCTCCATCACCTTGAACATGCCGTTGATCTGCTGCTCGATGGAGGCGCCCAGCTGAAGGAAGTTAGATCCTTCACCCTGGAAACACAAGAGACACAGTGAGGAGAGAGGAGAACAAAAATAATGCAAAAACAAATACTGGTTAGAATTTTGATTGAACGTCCAACCTGGTAACGCACTGATTTAGCCATTACAGTTCTTATATCAGGGGTGTCAAACGTTGTTTTTTTTTTCCTCAAAATGAATGTACATTAGTGAGGGAAGGGCCAAATCTAATGTCTGCACATAGACATGTTGTTCTGCAAAGAAATGTATGATTAAGTTGACTTTAAATATAAGAGAATAGACAGGATTGGCCTCCTTCCCATGTCCTGACATTCTTTTCAATACAAATTAAATCAAAATTCTTTTATTCTTCTTCTTAAAATCTCTCCCTCGCAAGCCAATTTAGACCCCCTGGAGGGCCAAGTCTGGTCCGTGGGTCCGACTTTAGGGATCCCTGGCTTATCTCCAATATCTGTCAGCACAGAACCTGAAAGAAGATATTTATTTCCACAGTAAAAATTATAGATTTTTTGATGATTTTTGGAAGATTTATGGAAAAGTACTTTCTCTAACATGTTCTGGACAGGTAAAAAATAACATTCATTTATTTACCCAACCCTAAATCACGACTATAACCCCAACATTAAACCAGGACTCAAACTCAGACTAAACCAGGACTAAACCAGGACTTACAGATTTTTGGAAGATTTATGGAAAAGTACTTTCTCTAACATGTTCTGGACCAAAACAACAGGTAAAAAATAACAGTTATTTATTTGCCCAACCCTAAAAGGAGCTGCATGTAGCCTGTGATCTTACAGTTTTAAACAAAAAGTACAATCACAACTGGACCTGTGCTGCCAGTGTCTAAACCTGCAGATGGAGGACGACTCATATGAAGCTCATTCTGCTTTTTTATTGGATAATCGTCTTGAAAAACACCACATTATAACAAAAATAAAATAAGGTCAGGTACACTTTATGGTCCCTATTGTCCCTAGGGAATTTGTTACATATGTATTTGACCCATTCTTCAATACCACAGCCTGTCGTCAGGAGCTGTGAGCATCAAGGACAGCGCTCAGATCTTGTGGCTAGGACCTTAGCTGGAAGATTTGACCTACATTATGCCCAGAGAACACAGGCAGAACATGCAAACTTCACACAGAAAGACCTGGGAATCAAACCTGTAACCTTCTTGCTATGAATCTTGAGTGCCAGTGGACCAATGTTTTCGTAATTAAGAATGAATCAGTGTCATGACTGTTATGAGTAAAAGCTATGATTGACATGTTTACATATCTGGGGACACAAACTGACCAAGTTTATGACACTGAGTGCGTGTACATGCACAACAGTATGCCGGTTATTAGCCATATCCCGGTTGATGCTGAGAACCCGGGATACTCATATCCCCGTATATACATGATCAAATGGAGTATCCCGGTTTCTTGACATAAACTTACAAATGCGCAAGCACAAAAATTAACTGAATTTAAATTAATAAACCAGGACAATTACAAACCATGAGCTCCTTTAGCAGAGGAAGCACAAACCGAACAGATTCTTCAGTAAAATCTTCTGCATAAATAAACTCAACTTTACAACATATAAACCAGAACCACTATAGAAACACATCAGCCCATTTGATAATATAATTCAGCTTTGATCACTTGAATATGTATGTACTTTTTGTGACAGAGGATGTGCTGATGATGGTGAGTCTGTTCTGTACGTATATCATATAGAAGATAGTTCATGTTTTAGCTTTTCAGTGATCATACGTGTGCAGGTCATTTCACTCATGTATGGTCACTTTATTTATATTGATCACTTTATTTATGTTGGTCACTTTATTTATATTGATCACTTTATTTATGTTGGTCACTTTATTTATATTGATCACTTTATTTATGTTGATCACTTTATTTATGTTGGTCACTTTATTTATGTTGATCATTTTATTTATGTTGGTCATTTTATTTATGTTGGTCACTTTATTTATGTTGGTCACTTTATTTATTTGATCACTTTATTTATGTTGGTCACTTTATTATGTTGGTCATTTATTTATTGATCACTTTATTTTGTTTCATTTATTTATGTTGATCATTTATTTATGTTGGTCACTTTATTTATGTTGGTCACTTTATTTATATTGATCACTTTATTTATGTTGGTCACTTTATTTATGTTGGTCACTTTATTTATATTGATCACTTTATTTATGTTGATCACTTTATTTATGTTGGTCACTTTATTTATGTTGATCACTTTATTTATGTTGGTCATTTTATTTATGTTGGTCACTTTATTTATATTGATCACTTTATTTATATTGATCACTTTATTTATGTTGATCACTTTATTTATGTTGGTCACTTTATTTATATTGATCAATTTATTTATGTTGATCACTTTATTTATGTTGGTCACTTTATGTTGATCACTTTATTTATATTGATCACTTTATTTATATTGATCACTTTATTTATGTTGATCACTTTATTTATGTTGGTCACTTTATTTATGTTGGTCATTTTATTTATGTTGGTCACTTTATGTTGATCACTTTATTTATATTGATCACTTTATTTATATTGATCACTTTATTTATGTTGGTCACTTTATGTTGATCACTTTATTTATGTTGGTCACTTTATTTATGTTGGTCACTTTATTTATATTGATCACTTTATTTATATTGATCACTTTATTTATGTTGATCACTTTATTTATATTGATCACTTTATTTATGTTGGTCACTTTATTTATATTGATCACTTTATTTATATTGATCACTTTATTTATATTGATCACTTTATTTATGTTGGTCACTTTATTTATGTGTGTCACTTTATTTATGTTGGTCACTTTATTTATGTGTGTCACTTTATTTATGTTGGTCACTTTATTTATGTCACTACTGTTGTGCTGAAAAGACTGGAACGTGTTTGTCTTTTGGACGCATGTGCACTCAACTTTATGTAGCAGTATTTTGGATACTGCATTTACATGCCACAGTATCCCAGTTACTATCAGAATATCCCAGCTACAGTATCCTGGTTTCTCATAACCGAGATCCTGCCATATTGAGGATACTGAATATGGCAGTATTCAGTATCCTGCATGTACAAGCACCAAGAAGAATCTGGGGTACTCAAAAAACCCGATCATAACTGAGATACTGATACTCATTTAAAATCTAAATCTTACATACAGATCCTTTCACTTGTCTAATATTTTTGCTATACTTAAATCTATTAGAGTTTTGGTATCAGTGTTTAGTTTTAAAACAACCACTTCACTTGTCAACTGCCAGAAACCAAAACACAAAATGTAAAACTCCTCTTCAATGGGAATGCAGTCAATAACGGAGATGAACTTCTTGGCTTCCCGTCTGAATCCACCACAGACTGTACATTTGACACCTCCATACGTCCGTCTGTATAGTGCATGTTGTTTGTTTAGGGGCCGTGTCCGGGGAGCAGAGCCTGTCTCCTTCATGGATGACAGGAGCCTGATGTGAGCTACCAAAGCAGAGAGAAGACACCAGCAGCACCAGCTCTGAAGGGGTGAGAGTGAAATCCTGTGGGACAAAACTCAGGGAGAAAAAAAAAAAACACTTTATGGTCAAGACGAGAGCTCAGCTGACGCACACAATCCACTGAAGATGCTGTTGTCGGAAAGCAGGAAAGAGGATTCTGACCCGGGGCTATCCGTGTTACAAAACTATCACAAAAATAAAGTCAGAAGGTAAAGGTGACGATTATACGGAAAAACATCTAATTGCTATTTTTCTGAGTTGTAATTAAGTCTAAACCAGGACTGAAACCAAAACCAAACCAGGACTTAACAGAAACTTAACCAAATTAAACCAAACTAAACCAAACTAAACCAGGACTGAAGCTGAAATAAACCAGGACTCCACCTCAAATTAAACAAGGACAAAATCAGGACTAAACCAGGATTAAACTAGAACTAAAATAGGACTACACCACAACCAAACCAAACTAAACCAGGACTGAACCAGGACTAAATTAGGACTCCAAGTCAAACTAAATCAGGTCTAAAAATGGACTCAAACTGAACCAGGACACACCAAATTAAACAAAGACTACACCAGGACTAAACCCTGACTAATGCGGGACTAAACCAGGATTAAACTAGAACTTAATTTACACCAGGACCAAATCAAACTAAACCAGGACTATACCAGAACCAAACCAAACCAAACTAACCCAGGACTATACCAAGACTAAAACAAACTAAACCAGGACTGAACCAGGACTCCATCTTAAACTAGACCAGGGCTATATCAGGACTAAACCAGGATTAAACTAGAACTCAATTAGGACTACACCAGAAGTAAAACAGGACTATACCAGGACTAAACCAGGACTGAACCAGGACTTCAACTCAAATTAAACTAGCAATATATCAGGACTAAACCAGGACTCAAACTCAGACTAAACCAGAACTAAACCTATCTAAACAAAGACTACACCAGGACTAAACCAGGACTACACCAGTACTAACCCAGGACTAAACCAAGATTAAACTGGAACTAAACCAAGACTAAACCAGGACTGAACCAGGACTAAATCACGACTGTAGCCTTTACAATAAACCGGAACTCAAACTCAAACTAAACCAGGACTAAAACTCAAACTACACTGAAAATAACCTAAAGACTAAACAAGATCTAAACAAGGACTCACACTGAAAATAAACCAGGACTAAACCAAATTAAAGCACAACTAAACCAGAACTCAAGCTTAAACTAACCCAGGATTACACCAGGACTAAACCAGGACTAAACCAAGACTAAAACTCAAACTACCCCTCCTTGAACTGTCACCTTATCGTGGTGGAGGGGTTTGAGTGCCCGAATGATCCTGGGAGCTATGTTGTCGGGGGCTTCTTGCCCCTGGTAGGGTCACCCAAGGCAAACAGGTCCTGGGGGACGGGTCAGACGAAGAACGGTTCAGAAGCCCCTTATGATGAGTGCAACACAGAGGCCAGTTACATTG